CGCCACGGCTGTTTATTAAATTTGTAATAAATAAATGAATGAAACTCTGTAGTAAATCTTTTTACATTTTCATATATTCAGAAATGAGTATTATATATAAATATATATATTGAGATGATCGATGGAGCAAAAATTATATAAGTTAAATGAAACAGAGACATGATGCAAAATGGTAAACATGATAAATTGTATTTGTATTTGCTAAGCGTACTACGATTTAGTGGCAAATAATTATGTATTATTATTATTATTAATAGACGTAAGGAGAACAAAAAAAAAACTAAATAAAGAAATATTTGGAGAGAATTGTTGTTTGTTGTGTCCGATTTGTTACTTTTTTTTTCAGTGCTTTCTTTCAGTGATTGAAGTGTCTTCTTATCTGAGATGCTTACAAAACCGGAGTAATTGCATTGGCGCGTATATATACATACACACATGTATGAAATCAACAAAAAAAAAAGCAGTGATAATGAGTCGACATTCTCACGTAACTGTCAGGTAAGTGAGACGTTCTATTTTTATGGAAGCACATTGATTGAATTCAATAGGGATTTACTTTGAGTGATTGCGTAAGCGTCGCGGCGATCGCAGGGGTTCCAGTTGCGTAACCGCGAGTTCCGCGCGATTATCTGGTGAATAATCCGCGTATCTGCGAGACTCATTTATTATTACATTGTGTGCGTTCGTACGAATTGCATTATTGTTTCCATTATCTTTCCGTCTAGTGCAATGCATGCACGCTCGTAATAAATATAAGTAATCGATGAGTATTTTGAAATTGCGGATTCATTAGAAACGTTGCAAATAATTGTAATAAAATAATAAAATTGAAATGAAACGAATGTAAATAAATAATAACGATAATAATGGAATGGGGCATAATAAAATGCTTAATTAATGTTTGTTTTCTGAGCAGTGCGACTTCATTGAACCTAATTGAAGTTCGTCAGCGATTCTCATTCCGACCTTAACATACGACCGAGTCGGTTATTTGATCTTTGGAATGAGAGAAAACAAAAAAATAAACTTTTTATTTGTTTTTTATCAAAACATAAATACATTAATTTATATACAAAATAGTACCAATAACAACATTGTCATTTAACCGTAATTATTATTATTTATAGAATATATTTTTGCATAATTTCCATAATACTTGATTTTGGGTTTTCAAAGTCTTTATTTTAATTATTTATTACTTACACATTTTTTTTTCCTTTGTACTTGGACTTGCACAATTTTTAAATTAATTTCAAAATTAATTAATTAAAAAAAAATCTCATTTTGTAAAATAATAAATTTAGCGTTATAAACATTTCTTTTCAGATAAATGAATAATCGAATTGAACCACGAATTAAGAACTTTTCCAAGGTCATTTTATATAATTATAATATTAAATATGTTAAAAATTAACTTAACGACAATTTTTTTTATGTCTTCATGAACTTTTTTTTATGTATAGATTTAGCGTTGTAACATGTTCTTTTTTTTTCAGATGGTTTTGAATAATCCAATTTTTTTTTTAAATAGAATTTCACCATGAATTAGAATCATTTCCACTTCATATGCTGACTGAGCAATAATAATAAAAAAAAAAATGTTGTCATTACATTGAATGACAGTCGGAATTGCACGACCATTGACCATTGTTTTAATAGGATTTAGTTGACATGCACGTGTATTCTCAAAATTAAAAAAAAAAAACATATTTAAAAAAATCGCGTCAAGGTCACCGCGTATATCATATAAGTCGTTGGATCCATCTTAATGACAGCGATAATAAAATATAAAAGAGTACATTACAAATTGAAGTATTTGAAAAGTCAATCACTGTGACCTTTACGACTTTATTTTATTACTTGAAATCAAACAAATTACCCCTTGATTTTCTTTTTTTTTTTTGCAATTCTGACTATTTCGAAAGACGCGCTCTGAAATCTATACATTTCACGTATATAACCATAAGTAATAAATTTATATAAAGGATATATATATAAATCGAAAGGATTAATTTTTATGTGCCCGGAGACAACGATACAATGTAATACTAGGAAAGTTTTCTCAATTTTAGCTGATTAATGCGGCGATTAGATATTAGAAGGAGCGAAATCGATTTCGAAAATTTTATATATTTACTTAGCTCGCCTCTAAGGGGAAAAACGCATTTATTTTTTTGTTTAAACCCAAATTTTATTGTTTCCTATAAATATGAGTTGTTTCAAAATGCTATTATTAATTAATGATGATTGTTCGGACAAACTTTTTTTTTTAGTTTTATTGTTATATTCATTAAAAATTATCTTCGTCCGCTTTGTTTTTCCACTTTTTGTTATTACTCTCTGTTCCGGCTAAATCCATTTATCGGTGTACACTCATCGTTTTCAGTTCGTCGGTTTTTCAAGTCAGTACATGTACGTGCACGCCATGAATTTCCACTCATTACGCAATTATCCACACTGTTTGGGAACAATATTTTCCCAATGCTGTCTGTGCGTACGTACGCCTTCGACACGATCGATACATTCGTTCCAATTAAGAGTTGAAATCAACTCGCCAGTTGCTTGCTTGGGTATTTCCATCCTTCCGCTCGCTTCGCGGATGTATTCTCTTATCTACAGTTAACTCAAGATCATTGACCAACCCATTTCGGTTATGGCACTTCAATCCAACGAAACTTCAATTTAGATTCTTTGTAAGATCATAATCATTATTTAAGTCCATCTAAAATAATATTTTCATTAACTTATATTCTACTAAGATTCTAATTTTGATCAATGAAATTTTACTATGGTTTCACCAAAATTTATATTGATTAACAAATTCAATTCCGTTATGATACAAGTATATTTGGAATAAGCTTTGAATAAGCTAATGAATCTCAACAAGTGTTACAGAGAGGCGTTGCCAGGGAATTGTGTTTACGTCGGTATAGTATATAATGAGGCAATAGATTATTTTAGGATTGAAAGCAGAAATTTGCAAATAAATCCATGTGTAATGGATTTACAAAAGCATTTAATTCATTGCTTTAGCTAAATAAAGTCGATAGAGAAAGGGGACTTCCCGGGATAGTTTGATATCATGGATTTACCAAAGAACCTTCCATAAAGTTTCTCTTAATTATAAATACGTTTGCTAATTCTTCGCGCAGAATGGCGCAAGTGCTCCAATAAAGGCGAAAAAAAAAATATAAAATTCGTTTTCAAAGATATAATAACAAACATGTTGTAAATACTAATTGAATTTGATGAAAACATCATAATATTAATCTGGTGGAAAATTAAAAAACGTTTACTATTGTTTAGCAAACAATTTTTATGACAAACCGCAAAATGCTTAGCTTTGTTTATCATATTTCCCGGAACATTCTTCCATACTTGCTATATGAATTAGCAGCTCTAATCTGTGTAATCAAACTACAACGCATATGTCGTATTTGAAACAGTCTATTTCTTCTAAGTACATATTATTAGGTTTGAGGTATTCCCATATTCGGTTTAACACTGAATTCGAGATTATACTGCGGTTTTCCGTTACCACGCATTATCAATTCGCGGTTGTTGTATTTATAGAACATCTGCGTAATATCAATAGATTTGTATCTCTTGCATTTAATAATAATTACGTTGATTACTCGAGTATTCCGATCAGATTTTATTATTAATAATTAATCGAGATTGCGTTTCAGGATTTATTAATAGATTTGTTTTTTTTAGGAGGAAGCAGAAGAAAGTTACATTTAGTTTAGATTAGATAAGTACTTTCTTTCAGTGAATGAATTTTTGAGAAAATTTTGCACGAATTTAAAAAAAAGGACGCAATCAGAGCATAACGATGAAGGTGAGTCGATTTCTAATTTCGTAGTCAAATCATTAATTACGGCGTTGAGAAATCCATAATAAGTATTTTATAATTATTTTTTTTTAGTTGTTGTTCATTCCTAACTATTTCAACTTCCTGGAAGTTTTTATTTTTTTAGTTTTATCGTTTCAGAAATACTTCTTTACACGTTAGACCGTAAATTTCCTTTCGTCCTTATCAGCGATACTTGTCGAACACAATTTTCCGGGCAAAGAATGCATAGCAGAATACGAAACAATGGTGGTATGGTGAGTAACGGCGGTTTCGTTCGATGATTGGGAATAAATGTGCGGACGATAACAAAAAAAATATATTCATAATAAACATTTTCGTTGTTGAATACATGCGCGATGGCGAATTAACAATCGAACGAAACAACAAGAAAACAAAGGGGATTTGCGAAAACATCTTGGATTGCGAAAACCGGGGCCTTATCTGCATGCCATAAAGATACTCCTACGAAATCGTTTCAAGAAATCGTTTCGCCTCATCAGTTGCTGCAGCTGCTTGAAATAACGAAGACGTTCTCACGCTGATTTCGGTTTTTATTTTTTTGTGCGAATCGACAGGTGTCGTGTCGGCATTCCTTATTATTATACCTTTGTTTATTATTTTCGTTTACGCTAAGAAATCGATACCGAACTAGTTTGTTAATGACTAATTAATTAGTGCTGTGATTTCATTACGTTGGCCTGCGCCTACTCAGCTTAGTTTCGAGCTTAAGCACACCGGAGACGGATGCTTGCAAACCAAAGGTAATCCAAGTTAATATGTTATAGAGTTAATATATATATATATAATATATATGTATATACATTATATTATATATAACGAGATGACAATCTCGTATCTTGGAATCTAATCCGATAGATCGATGATAACATCCGTTTTTTGAAAAAAAAAATTGAAAAAAATTGAAGTGGATGTACGCGCAACGAGGGCGCATAGGGCACTGACCTACCTCGATGTCGGACGACAAAATATAATTGTGTTTTATTGAAAGAACGCAAAGTGAAATCAAGTGTACGACGCTGATTGCCAATTAATTAAATAATTGGAAAGTGATAACGGGGTTGAGAGATGCTATCGATGCTTAATTTGCTGAAAGCGTTGCGGCGATATGGCGCCGTGGATTTGCATAAAGTCGGGGAATGGTGTTGTTTTTCTCTTCAGCTTTTCGGTAGGGGAATTTCGTGAGGAACGCGTTTTGGTTTTTGGAAATGCCGAAGGTTGGTATTGACGATGGTGATCTTTTCTTGGTAGGGTCTTTGCGTAGGCAGGTAAGGTAGGCCCTACTCATCGTTCCCAGTTCTTGGACCCTTTTCGGTGGGCCAACAGCAAACAGCGCAACGCGATCAACGGTATCTGCTCACAGACTGACAGACGTACGCACAATTTTATATATATATTCTTTTTTTGTTCGTTGCCTCGTTCTTATTATTATTATTGGTCGTTTCGCGTCTAGAGGAGATGGTTGATAAAGCGCTCCAATAAATACAGCAGCCACCCATTCATTTGTATCACGCTGTTATTATCATCATCAAACCGCGGAGCGACTGACGCCGATCATAGTTATAGAATTTGCTACTTATCAGTAACGGTAAGCTAGTACCAAGTGCCAAGTTTGGAGCTGTACGGAACGGACGTCCTCAGGTATAGGACACAGAGCTGCAGTGAAAAGTGCTACCAAGAGCCGTACATCATCTTCTACACCGAGGTCCTGAACCTATCAACCCTGGCAAAATTCCATAAAGTTTCCACTCTGTAAGTACAAAAATGTGAAGAAATCACATGGCGTCACCTAACTACGCTTCTTCGTGGCAACGCACCATCATTCCATACCATCAAATAAATACAAGAATTCAACAAATTTCAACAAAATTTTTTCGCAAATTTATTTAAAAAAAAAATAATAATTTGAAATCCTGTCGCGAGCTGAAGTCTTTTATCGCTTAATCCGACTTCACGCCTATAAAAGATTTTATGGACGCAAATAAAACCATTTTATTGTGTATATATAGTTTACTCTTTATGTTTTATTATTATCATTTTATGTAATTTCAAAAAAAAAAAAAATTTGATCCGTTTCCGCGCCGATGGAAAAACAATAACCATAGGTGTCTTCTTCTTCCATCCGTTATCAGCTCGTGTTCGGTAAAGTGATTGAATGTTGTATTAACGTGAAACCGTAATCACTTTATCAACGAATTTCCATTTCGGTATCGATTCGGCATGTGACAAATGCGATAATGTGTATGTCGACGGGGGGGATTTCGTACTGTAAAAATATGTATTTAAAAAAAAATATTGGAAAAGAAATTGTTCTTTGCACACCACACTAGACCAGGCACGGTTCTTAATCCCTCGCACTTAGAATATTCGTCCTTATTTGACGGATACCGGGGCGCTTCGTTTTACGTCACTGCGATCCACTCGAAGGAGTAATGAATATTGATAATTGATTTTTTCTCAGCCTTGTTCTAAATTCAATTATTTCCGATAACGAGAAACCTCTTATCGCTGCGAGTGATCCCTTTGTAGTTGGCCAGAACGTGATTTAATATTTTCAATCACCGTGGCGACAAAAAAACGTTTAGAAAAAGATGTACCGAGAGATGAACCATCTTCCATCAACTTTCCCCATGACCAAAAGCGGATCGTCTAATGACACAACAGGCCATTAAGCCGATTATGATTTAATTAGTTTGAGACCAAGGTCTAGGAACCCAGTAATTCCCCCCATTCGGATGAACGCAGAATCACCGATGAAATAATAATAATAATAAAAAAAGGAGTCATTCCGATTCAACATCACGAAGTTACAGACAATGGGTATTACGTAATGCCCGGAGCTTATCTCGGGAGTAAAAGTCCTGCCAGAATTCGGAGAAATCTTAAGTAGAGATCAATGATTTTTTTTTTGTATATCTTTTAAATTATTATTTCATTTACTAAAAATATGTCTTTCTCCCTCCTCTACCAAACCACAGCTGTCCCAAAGCTAAGGTCAATTGTCTGATGATCTCGTATCGTTTGAGGAAATCGATCTACTTATCGCATCCCTAAATACAATGTTGCCCCCTCAAGTAGGTGCAAAGATCGCGAAAAAAACGGACACGGGCTACAAAACAACGCGAAAAATTTCGAGATCGTGCTAAACGAAAAAGCAAATTTCCGAGTACGGAAAAAGAAGCCTGCGGCGCCCATTGATAATTACAATTTCAAATCGATTGGTTATTACACTATTATAAGAAAAAAAAAATCTCTGTCTCTCTTTTTATTTCTGCCTCTCCACTATTTATTTATATTCTTTTGTTTCATTTTTTTTTTGTTGTTTCTGTACAGTTTTATGATTTAATATTTCGCGTCCGATCTGCGGTATAAATGTATGCTGCAATTGAATCTCCATCCCATTTCGCGATTGGTATCATACCAAAGCGGCTCTGTCTTCGAAACGGTTTTCGCTGTGTTTCGCGACCTTCGTGTTTGAACAGAAATTACCGACTTTAGTTAGCAATTGTATTGCGTGCGAAACTAACTCAAACATTTGAAGAAATAGGAAGGGAATGCCAAACAATAAGTGAACATAGTACTAAAAGAGATGCACGTTTTGTAATTGAGAGTGCGAGAGAGTTGGAGATAGAAAGTGTAAGTTTTTTGTCAAATTATCCATTATCGCTGTGGAAAAAGCATGTGCGAAATGTGTGTGAGTGCGCTATCGCTCGCATTTTTTACTGTGGACTGGCGATAGCGTGCCTTGAGTTTGCTGGATTCTCCCGACAGTTTCAGCGATGTAGTCCAAGATTTCGTAACTCCGTCTGTCTGCTCAGTGTGCGTGTGTGCGATTGGAAAACGAAACTCTAATTATTTATTAGGGAACCGATTGTCTTTAATTGAATGATCAATTTTGGTTTTAGCTTCTGCGACCTTGAACGTCCTCCGGGTTAACTACACCGAAAAAGGGATCTGGCTTGTGTACAATTCAGTGAACCAACGAAACAATTAAACCGTCATCAATGTAAAGCAGTAAGTTCTAAAACAATTGTACAATTGATATGTGTACGCAATTTAATCATGTACTAAAACTAACTTGTATTGTTTCTATTGCAGCGGATCTTATCCTGTTTTAACATTTATGATCAACATAAATGTTTTAAGGATACCTATCGGAAAGTAGTGTAAAAACCATGGCGGGCAACAAGGATCCAGAGTTTCGTTACACCGACACACCTGATAGTACGATGAGTCAGAGCTCACTGGGCTCTGAGCAGTTTACTGTCTCAACTATACTAGGGCTAGTCGACGATGGCAAGGATACCGATGGTAATTATTGAAAACCTACCAGAAATGATGATCTTACAAATATTTAATAATTTCAGGAGTTGTAATTAAAGTTGAATCTCTCCCCAATTCAAATATGGGTTCTACTCAGCACACCAATAGCTCCCAAGCGAGCTCCGACTATATCTTGAAAAAGGAGAAGTGGTATTCTGTCACTCTTCAGATCTTCATACCGTTCATGATTGCCGGAGTTGGGACTATTGGAGCTGGAGTTGTGTTGGGCAACGTCCAGGAGCACGAAGTATTTAGGAATGTAAATGCGCTTTTCATTTTGGTACCTTCGATTCTCGGCCTCAAAGGCAATCTTGATATGTGCCTGGCTTCGCGTCTCTCCACGCAGGCAAATCTGGGAAACATGACCTCAAAGAAAAAAATATTGAAGATGATCGTAGGCAACATAAGCTTAGTCCAAGTAAGATACTTTCTTGATGACAATCACAACTTTAGATACTTAATATAATTTTTTTTTAAAGGTTCAAGCTATAGTGGCTGCCTGCTTAGTCTCTGTATTTGCAGTGAGCGTATCTGCAGTAATGATTGGAAAATTCGTATTCAATGATGCAATCCTCTTGGCAGCCTCTAGTGTAGTCACAGCTACAGTATCCTGTTTCATATTGGGTAAATAGACATTCACATCGCAATCCCTGTGCGTGTTTTACTTAATCCTTTCGCATTTAGACCTGGTGTTGATCGCTGTCATCACTTTGGCACACCATCTCAAAGTGAACCCGGACAACTTAGCAACTCCTCTGGCTGCAAGTATTGGGGATATTGTGTCATTGATCCTGCTCTCGACAATCGCCGGACTTCTGTACAAAATACATGGTAAGCATAATCGAACTTTGTAAATAAACAAATCATTAATACTGATTCATAAATTTGCAGATAGCCACACTTGGGTTTTGTACATGATTTTAGGCTTTTATTTATTAATCGCACTTCCTTTGTGGGTTTTTGTTGTAAGGAAGAATGAATACACCAGACCGATATTAACCCATGGTTGGACTCCAGTATTAGTAGCTTTATTAATTAGTGGGTAAGTGATATGTTTGCTTATTTCATCTGAACTAGTCTAATAATCATTTTGGGTTTTAGGTTGGGTGGTCTAGTTCTGGATTCTGCAGTTGACGACTATCAAGGTTTTGTAGTATTCCAACCTATTATCAATGGTATTGGTGGTAACTTGGTTTCCGTACAATCTAGTCGAATATCAACCATGTTACATCAAACATCCTTGCCTGGAATTTTCCCACCTCATACCCGCTGGTGGGTAATGCCGTGGACTGCTCTTTTCAAAGGAGGTAATAATCATAGATAAATACTCCTAATTTTGATATTAATAATCAATTATTTTTCCTCAGTATTTTCTGCTAAAACTGCAAGGATGCTGATCATCATGGCAATACCCGGTCAGACGGTATTCGTGTTTGTCGCCGATTTCATTTACAACGGAGTATCAACGGTAACACCGGAATTCGTCTTCACCTACTTAGCTGTGGGCTTGATCCAGATAATGCTGTTGCTCTACATCGCTCACCTCCTGACCCACACCATGTGGCGATGGAAGATTGATCCAGACAACTCTGCGATCCCGTACCTCACAGCTCTCGGCGACTTATTAGGATCCACACTCCTATTTCTAGCATTCATGTTCCTGAGATCCATCAACCGTGAATATCAGCCGATCATATGAGAAATTTCACGAAATTTTGTTGAGAATGGAAGCACAATCTCGACAAGATTTGTTTTTTTTTAAATATTTATATGAATTATTTTATATATTCTAATTTGTAGTTCTCCGATCTTCCATTCCTACATTTTGTTTATCTATATATCTAATATTTTCTATTCCATACCAAAGTCCTAAGACACACTAACTACTATTTTACTAGTTGATTTTTTTTAATAATTTATTATTTTTTGAATGATATTCATAATGGCTGCTGATTCACGAGGTGAAGCTTCTAAGTACCAACAATGCACGCTCGTGAATAGTATTATGTACTTAATGAAAATAAAGAAATTGTGTGAACCATTAACTCAACTCTTTATTATGCAACCGACGCAGCTTGTTGCATGTCCCTCTTACGTTATATAATCGAATTTGACTACAAATATTTGTGAACAAATTTGTATATGATTTTTACATTCAAAACGTTTTTTTTGTATTATCATTGAACGTGCGTAAAAAATAATTGATATCATTAAAATGTACAACACTTCCATATTTATAAAAATGAAACGACTTTTCGCACTATTCAAAGATGTCACTAGTCATACCAAAAAAAAAACGAATCGAATGCTTTCAATCATTTTTTTTTAATAATTTGTTTTCTATGTCAACTACGTTAATATTATCAAACTTCAAACTATATGTTTAAGAATACCGCCAAACTTATTGCAACACAAGCATTTCTTTAATTACCTAAGTAATACTTAAACAAACACAGATACTGTTGCCACGTTTTTTTTTTGTATTACAAATTATATTGCTGATAAAGTATTATTAGTTGGATTATGAAAGATCTCTACGTAATTCTAATAGTGCAAATCAGAAAAACAATGTTTTTCAGTTGCAAATCATACTTAAGTATGGTTGAATAAAATTTAAAAAAAAACCGTTTTAGTAGACTTCATTTCTTGTAAAAATGAAATAGTTTATGTTTTTATTTGATTCACTTTATTTCCACTTCTAATAAATACTGTATATTTGTCGTTGTTGACGATAACTGGAACTAAATTTTAATAAAAAAAATAAATTACATAGATATAAAATTAATTGTTTTTGGTTAATTAGGATTAGTTACAGGGTGACACCTATGATTTATTTCCAAAAGTACAACTTGAAGCTGAAACGAATTCAAGGAGGCTATTGTGTATGGGAAAACCCTCGACTTTCCCTCGATCGATCGTAAGCTGTTCTTGTTACGCAAGAGTCGACAGATGTCGTAGTGGCATGGAAAAACCTGTCAAAGGACCTAAATTAATGTGAATGGGGGTCGGCCTTAACAGTGGGGCAGCCTCCGCGGCCTCGACGAGACAATCTGAACGAACGCGCAGAACTGCAGTAGACCGCAAAAACGTAAGAACATTCCGCGTTAGAACATCGCTCTTCGGGAATACGACAAAACACACGCTGCCCCCGCTGAACGACCGCAAACCTCTAATTCGTGTAAAAGAATCCAGGATCCGGAAGCTCGTCCATCCCTTAGTTGACGATCCGTAGGAAATGGCATCAGCACCCGAAGGATTGATGCAGACGGCAGAAGTATGAATCGCAGGAATTCCGCCGGCATCGATTTTTGGATATAGGTGAGAAGAGAAGCCCGTGCGGCTCGTTACGTCGCGCTCTTAATGAAATTACGAAACGCGCCCCGCTGCAATTACATAATTGACAACTGTCCGGCGGTTAATTGCGATGGATGTTTGTCCTCGTTGCGCGTTCGACTTTCCAGCGGACTTCTCCTTCTATTATTTACAGATATTTCGTTCCACCGACAGGTATTGTAAACAATTAGTCACGAATCGGTATTTACATTCGGAAGGCCACTGCAAATTGTGTACGTACTCGCACTCGTTGAACAGACCCGTTAGAAAGTGAACCTCTGTCCGCGGCGGTCTTCTGCAACCCTTACTTCCTTCCTACAAACCCTCGGAACAATTCCAACTTGCAAACCATACACTTTATTATACTATTTCGGTGATACAATTAGAAAGTTGGCCAAAACGAGGTCCCGCATTCCGGTCTCACCTGCTACTAAAGCTTATCTCAACGAAATCGGCACAAATCACTCAAAACTGTTTACCTAAGAATCCTGTCAGTGATCGTAATTAGGTCTTTTTTTTTGTTTTGTTTAGTTATGATAACAAAGTTTCATATATTGTCATTAAATACGCGCGCGAAAAATGTATTGTTTACGGTGTATCGACGCTTAGACGCAACTCTAAGTTCGTGAGTTTTGCGATTAACTCGTTAATAAGTAAGAGTCCTTACTGTATATACATGTAAATCCTGATTATAAAATTGAGAGTGACTATCGATCTTTTTGTGTGTGAAACGATACCCGTTGACATAGTTTCCATTATAAAATCAACGTAGTGCAATCATCGATTGATGATCGCACGCTGCCAAAGAGCATCTTGTTGTTTTCAAGTATTAACATCGTTTAACCTTTCGATGAAACGCGGCGCGAATTATTATTATTGAACGGAAAAATGCGCTGCGTTGAATATTGATTGGGCTTTTCAAAGATCGCGTGTGACGCGAAGAAATGTTACAACACGTCGATTTTTCTTGCTGCCGGCGATTGACTATAAATTAATAATGTATGGTTTCGTTTCCAGTGAGGCTGGTATGCCACATCATGAGCGGAGGACGTACCCTCATCGGGAGACGTCGGTTCCCAACCACGTGGTCTGGCATCCTGATGATCGTAGTGATAATCTGCGCCCTTCTGCAACTTGCCTTCTTAAGCTTGGGGGACTCCTCAGATTCTGGCGGCGATTTCAATGACTCCTCAGCAGCCATCCTCAGCATGGTACCATCGGGTCTCCACAAGTTCCTCACGCCTCGTCCTCGCAACCTGTCGCATGTCCATCAGAACGGTACTACAGCAAACCTTATCTACAGACAAGCCCTCAACATATCCGAAATGAAACGCAACATTGCATTGTACAATCTACAGCAAACTGTATACAACGAAGATTTGTTTGGATCCCTACAAAATGATTCAGTTGTGATCGTCGTACAGGTAAAGAGTTAGATCAAATTGTTCGGTATACAAAGAGAGAAACAAATTGTATCGATACTAATTTGCTTGTTTTGCTCATTGTTAGATACATGATCGTATTACGTACTTGAGGCATCTCATAGTGAGCTTGGCGCAAGCTCGCGACATCTCTCAAGCCCTCATTGTCTTTTCGCACGATATATATGACGAGGAAATAAACACCCTAGTACAAAGCATCGACTTCTGCAAAGTGATGCAAATTTTTTACCCGTACAGTATACAAGTCCATCCGAGTCAGTTTCCAGGAGAAGATCCGAACGATTGTCCGCGGGACATCAAACGAGAACAGTAAAAGGCGATGGTCTTTTGTAGCGAAGCGATAGGCATTAATGGGTTTTATAATTTTAGAGCATTAATCAGGAACTGCAATAACGCTCTGTTTCCTGATCTGTACGGCCATTACAGAGAAGCCAAGTTCACGCAAACCAAACACCATTGGTGGTGGAAGGCAAACAGAGTATTCAATCAACTGGATGTGACCAGGAACCACACTGGTCTGGTGGTATTCCTGGAAGAGGATCATTTCGTCGCTGAAGACTTCATCCACGTGCTTAAGTTGATGGACAGGACATGTAAGGCGTCGTGCAGATACTGCAATATTTTATCATTAGGGACGTATTTAAAGACGTATAATTATTACGGAAAAGTAAGAACCAATTTCTTTTATTTCTCTAATTACTCAATTAACAACACTCACACCCTATCTCTATACTCTAATAATCGTTTAGACAAAACTGAAATGACTATTGCTTTACGCTTAACTCCATCCATCTTGTCTGCACTGTTCTCATGACGAATTTTTAACTAGTACCAAACTTAAAATACCATTGCAGAAGGAGGTATTGCGAGCTATGAAACAACAAAGTGTTGTAAATGCAGGCCAAGTACAACCTTCCTGGTCATTTCAAGTGCTGCCTTCATTATATCAGCACTCACAAAAGGTAGCTTTTCGTAGAAAGTTCTTAGAAACGTTTCGATTAATTTTTATAATTATTTTAAAAGGCAGCGAAACCTCCGTTGATTGATATTGTTCTTATTATTATTATTATTATTGTTATTATACATTTTTACAATTATTATCATACATGCGCGCTTGTTTATGTGATCGCATTGCATATTTGCATGTTTCTGCTTTTGCCTGTGAAAATGTGTCCGTAGTTTAGAAGCATTCATTTATCATTCGTAAATTATCCTGAGGGGGAGCAGGGGAGCGAAATTTGAGGCGTCAAGGACTTCCAGATCCATTGAACCCAGATTTTTGCGCGCCACCAGCGCTCACCGCAGAAACAGAGAGAGAGAGCAAAAAGAGCACACATCTTACAGAATTTATTATATTTGTTCACATTCTATCAGCTCTTTATCATCTCTCCGTTGCACATATTCAGAGAGACAGAGTCATCCGCGTTAATCACTCTGACTCTCTATTTATCTTCTCTGTGACACGCATATTTTCCAAGACACGATCACGTAAATAACACACACCGAAATAATCCTTGAATCATCACGCCGTATCGCGGACACTCTCCTTTTCTATTCCTATTGTCGTTTTGTGTTTATATGTGTGTGCCCATGTGTATAAAAATATCATAAGAAACCGTAAGATATTTCGAGGAAAAGAGCTCATATGAATTTGTGATGCAAAGTTTTGTAGGTGTGTCCTCATTGTAGATTTCCTTTTTTTTAATATATATATATATATAAAAAAATATATTTACATTTGTATGCAGGACGTCGCATGTCTTCCATCAGACTGCTCTGACCGCTTTTGGTAATTTTCTAGGTAGAGATTACACCGTGGATAAGTAGCAAGCATAACATGGGTATGGCCTTTAACAGGACCACCTGGATGAAAATAGTTGGTTGCGCAGATTACTTTTGCAAGTACGACGACTATAATTGGGACTGGTCGCTGCAACAGGTGTCCCAGAATTGCTTGAAACAGAAATTACACGCTATGGTCGTTCGTGGCCCAAGAGTCTTCCATATTGGCGAATGGTAACGTTCCTTAATCAAACCTCTTCCACCACCTCTAATACTAAATTCTAAGTTTACTTTACTTTCAGCGGTGTGCACCACAAGAAAAAGAACTGCGAGTCCACTGCGGTGATATCGAAAGTACAAAAGGTACTGAAATCGGCGAAGAGGCATTTATATCCCGACTACATGACGCTAACTTACGTAACGCCGTTGAAGAAGCAGAAGATACGCAAGGGCAACGGCGGATGGGGGGATCGCAGGGATCACATGCTGTGTATGGGAATGACCTTAAGATAGTCGAAAGGAGAATGTTCTTGCTCATCGCCTAATCACACCGAAAGTACTTTATTATATTGTCTTTTTTATTTTATTCGAGAGTTACGGGACTGATTTCTTATTTTCATTGGTACTAAATAACGGCACGAACATACATCAGTGCTTGCTGCCTAAAGAGATATTCGTAAGTGAATAAGATTTAATCAATATTAATAAGAATCTATTTTAATATATTTTCTATGATGGAGAAAAAGAGAAATAATCGGTTTAAGTGAAATGAAGAAGAAAGGAAGAAGAAAAATATAAATAAACAAACAAAAAATTATATATATATATGAAGAGTAACTAAAGTTTGTATCTAGTCCAACCGCGGCGGCGTTCGCTCGGCCTCAGAATATTTTGTACGGAATTGGAGCCTCGTTTGAATTGAACCACAGCTTATTTCTTCGTTTGTCTAGTCAAATCGTTATAAATTTAATATTCTGTTTTTTTTTGCCAAATAAAAATAAACAATGGAAAATAGAAACATTTTTGCCGCATTGTAATATTTGTAATATGTTGTTATTTTTTTTTTAAATTATTATTTTTAATTTTATACTAATATGTGATACATGTACTTATAATTTAGCTCAGTAAGTTATAAGTACATTTTTGAGTTTAATAAAAAAAACACACAAATGTAAGCATTATTACATTTAATTTCCTACTCAAAGAACAAGGCTTTATTTATATGTTTATACCAGAAAAAACAGTAAAGGTAGTAAAAAAAACGAATGAAATCTACTCAAGCTCCAAGTTGCTTATAAAGGATGGGAACATAGTCGTCCCATTCAGCTTGGTAGAAGTTTCCAGCAATGGGTTCACCCAATTTGTATTTAGCTGCGAATTTCTTAATGGAGAAACAACCACGGTTGTCGCCGGAACTATAAAATTATTAAAACTATTGACTTTTCTTTTATTTTTTTTTTCCCTGAACTCACGTGTTTGTAAGTCTTGGTTCATCAAAGTTTAACTTCTCAGCTTGTTTGTAAACAAGGAACACGTAACGGTGAAGACCGGTACCCTCTGGTGGTCCTGAACCTATATATTGGGATAGGGTATCACCTTTGGAGATGTCAGCTCCAGGAATGTTTCCTACCAACCAGTGATGCCATTCCCTGTACGTAGGTTCCTTGCGACTAGGCGCATCCGGATCTACAATATGCAATAGCTGAATGCATAGAGATCGCATTTGATTTGATTAACGGTAATTACCTGTCATGCACAGCGTATAAAAGGCATTGTTATCAGCTGTCCACTTGACATTGGGAATATCTTTGACCTGTGTTGGTGTTAGCTCATTGCCAAGGTTCACAACAGCTCCACTGGCATAGCTAACCTGCAATAATCATACAGTTCATGCAATTGCAGGATCTCGATGTCCCGCATATACTTACTTCGGCGACCTCCTTGGGGACTGTCGCAACAACGTCCGGTACAACCTCCAATTTTTCCATCGCTTTAACAAGTGAAGAAAAGTAACGAGGTTTGAATTGTGTTCTTAAAGCGGTTGAAAGCATCTTTAAACTAAAATAAACTGCTGGACACACACATACGGGCGACGCAACAATAATACAATTTTTCCTCACTTACCTAACTGTTATCAAGAGCAAGAGAGGATCCAAGGAATGAAATGATGGGAATCCGGCACTCAAGCAATGATTCCTATTTGATCATCCATAGATTCACCACTATTCCACCAGATGGTGCTCTGTACCCAGTTATATTCCATTGACGCACATATCTTGATAACACTTATTCTTATCAACTAATCCGCCCAGGGGGATCTTGTAAAATATTTTCTACACATATCCATTCTTCGGGAGGTAATTTTCTTGTAATTAAGAAAAAATGCGTGAAAACTCGACGGATGTTAACGAAACAGCGATTTTTAGGAAAATCCTATTCACTTTTTTCCAATTTCTACAGCTCGTAGCATGCGACTCGACAACAGCACGAAAATGCCAATAGGCTCGTTGGAAAGATGAAGTATTCAGCTTTAAATAAGGTGGTCGATGATATAATTATCTTAAAGGGTTGTCGAAAAAACGTCTATTGCGTGTTACATAAAGAACATTTTGGAACTTTTTTTTCATGAAAAGTTATGTAAGGATGGAGCCCATCCTACGCAATCATGAAATGCAACAAAAGTTACGTAATAATAAAAATAATAAAATAATAAAAAAAAACACTTAAAAACTCGTCGGATATCAACGAAACAGTGATTTTTTAGAAAATCCTATTCACTTTTTTCCAATTTCAACAGCTCGTAGCAAGCGACTCGACAACAGCACGAAAATGCCAATAGGCTCGTTGGAAAGATGAGGTATTCAGCTTTAAATAATGTGGTCGATGATATAATTATATTAAAGGGTTGTTGAAAAATTCACAAAAATCTGAAAAAAAAATCGGAGAAAACGTCTATTGCGTGTTATATAAGGAACATTTCGGAACTTTTGTTTCATAAAAAGTTGCGTAGGTCGCCATCTACGCTCATGTCAACAAGTTACTAATGTAATATTGTTAACGAAAATTCGATGAATTCGTCTCGAGAAAAACTGAAGTGCACCATCTTAATCATGAATGCACAAGTAGTATTTTCTGTAATAAAAACCGTAAAAACCATTTGAACTTTTTTTATCCAGCACTACGGGATATCAACGAAACAGTGATTTTTTAGAAAATCCTATTAACTTTTTTTTCCAATTTCTACAGGTTACGTTAAAAAGGTGTGGTATTCAGCTTTAAATTGTGTGGTCGATGATGTAATTATTTAGACAAATTGAATTGAGAATGAAATTAAAATGTTTTATTTTGATAACTTGTAGTAGACCAAACAACAATGCCGGCAGTTAGGTCGTTGGAAAGGTTTTATTTGTCTCTATTATTTGCGTATTCGAAGGTTTAGTTAGCACGAGTAGTAATCAATTAATTTAGAAAAACGTAAAGGTATTGCAGCAAATTGAAAAAGAGATAGTTAAATAAATGGTTATATTCATATATATTAGAACTAATTACGTGCTAAAATAATTATTTAATTTACTGTGCTAAAAAATATATTTTCGCTTTCATTTGCTACAAAATACATTAGTTTTGGTCAATTAATAAGAAAGTTATTAAGATTTAATGAGTTGGCGGTTTTCGCAAATTAAGATTTATTCAAGCACTATTCTGATATGTTTGTTTATTAAAATTAGAACGCAAGTGGATTTTATGACAGCGCCAAAATGCCTGAAACTACAACCTTTGCTATATTGCTAACAGATGGCACTAGCTATCACGAAAATGGAATATTTATTTTGCGCCTATAGTGCAGCAACCAAACATACACATTGGTGACTTGAGCAAATAAGAAAACAACTTCTTAGATGCCGTGTGGCTATGGTCGCCTGTATCACGAAAATCTGATACGAAAGGTCGATTGGTTCAATTCCGAAAAACCAACAAAAATTTGTGGTGGCTGTTAAACCCGAAAGGGGTAGAATGGCCGGAGAGATTTATATCAATAAATAAATTGATATAAATCTCTAATATAACTTTTTAAAAAAAAATAATTAATTCTTATCATTGTTTGAATAAAAAAACTTCTTAGATAATGGCCTGTATTTTAGTAAACTTGAGCTCCCAGAATAATGTTATAAATGGATGTTGATCTTGAATATACACGGATTAAAATGAGTTCAAATGTTAATTTGTAGCTCCAACGGTGTCTTCATAATTGATTAACAAACTTTGGTATTTCACAAATAAATTGGGAAAACAACGACTTAGATAATGGCTTGTATTTTCGTAAACATGAGCTCACAAAAGCGAAAGAATTATTCTTTAAAACAGTAAATTAGAATTTTATAATATACACTTGGTTCTCTTTTTATGTG